ATTTCTTGTTTTATATATATATAAATTGAAATATGTCAAAATTAATGTAGTAATAAAGTGTCTAACATCTTTCCTATCCTTTGATTCTAGTTAATTTCTATATAGGTTTTTATTTGCATTTTGTCTTTTGTTTGTTGGTCCTTGGGTTTAAATTTAAATAACTTCTGATCATTTTTAGCTAATTGTTATTTTGATTGTTGGTTTAAGTCCCATAAAATATGTCTATCTCTCTATAATAAAACAAAAAAAAAATGCAAAAAGAAGAAATTAAAAAATTAATTAAAAGGAGAAAAAATACTAAAAAGTATAAAATTGAAAACTATGAAAGACTTTGACAAAATGATTTGCTTGTTTGCTTGCTTGCTGATTTGTTCCTTGATTTTAAAGTATGCTATTGTAATATTCATAGAGTTCGTGGAGTGCAAGCCTTCTTTATGTTTAACCATATTTTCAGATTTTGAATCTCTTGTATATTAACATCGACTTACTTTTTACCATTATTTGAATAAATGCGTGCACCTCCAAAATTTTCAATCTTTACACAATTTTTAATTTTCATATCATTTGAATCTTGAGTGGATGGTGAACACTATAAAAGATACTGTAAATGTTTAAGATATTGATTTTTCTCGTCCATTTCTATTTTCTAAGTCAAAAACCCAAATCCAAGTCCCAAGTCCCAAGTCAAAGTGTTTGTCTTTGTTGTACACGTTAAGTTGTAAATCAAGGTCTTCGCCGTCCATAATACGATTAATATTACAAATAAAATTTATTAATTTTGCAGTCTATTTTGGTTGGACTGCGTAGTTAGTTAATATGACCACAACAAAGTGTTTTCCTAAAAGTCGTCATTTTGGCCACCACATGGTAGAAATATTTAGGTGTCACTTTCTATGAAAATTAAGAAAAGTATTTTTTTTGACAACTCTCTTCTCTCAAGCAATAAACTTTCGTATTGGATAGTTGGAACTACTAGATTTCACCAACAAGCTCATCCTCAATACCTTCTTGGACATATATACATTGCTTATAGATACATGACATTCTTTGTTTGGGTGTTATTTATGGTGTAAATATTGTGATATTATTGATAAAATAAGAAAACTTATTTGGTGTGTTTGGTTTAGTTGATTTTTTTAACTTATAATTTTTTTT